TGATGACAATAATTTCTACTGCTGTCAGCTGCAAATTTGGCTACTCTGTGATCAAAACTGTTCAAAGAATGATCTGCTTAAACTAGCAGAACTGAACTAACGGAATTCTAAAAACACAAATTCAGCAGGATATATAGTAATTAGTGAGTAAAATGTTCTTTTTTGTGTTTGTAAGTTCCTTTTTTGCATTTTTGAGCAATTGTTGACATTATCATTGCTGTTTTTACACATATGTTCTAGCTCTAGTGTGAAAACAGATTCAAGGTGATCCATTGTGTCAAAAATATTAAATAACTTTTGGTAGTTTTTGTGAAATCTTTTTTTCATTTGATCTGTCAATCTATAATTGATGCATGTAATCATTTTGGAAATCAAGTTCAAGGTAGACAATATGTTGATTTCCCAGACAAAAAAAGAAATTGTTTTTTTTTTGGGGGGGGGATGGTCATGAAAATAATCCCATCTTTATTCCATTCTGAATGTAATGGGAACATTCTTGTGGCCAGGTAATGTGTTGCATTTCCGAGATGTAAAATCAGTTGACAGTTTTCTAAACCCCCTCATTCATTGTGGACACACAATAATACGACGCTTTAGTGAATTTTCAAGAAAGAAAACAAATAGTCTGTCATTATTGCCAAGCTTGGATGCTGATGTATTTTATCTTGTGCAGTATGCAATGAGGAGAGATAAGGCAAAAGCTGGGAATGTGCTCTTTTTAATTCCGTCTTCTTTTTACATGGCCCTCTCAAACTTCCTCAAACTTGCCATACTATTTTTCCCTCTGTAAATCAAGGACAGTGGGGAGGACGAGGTGTGATTGCTTTCACACCCAGGAAGTAATCACACCAGACCTGCCACAGCTCTGATTAAGACTGATAAATATCGACAAGCAGGTAATGAGATGTCAGGCAGGAACAAGGCCCTTCCCGTCATGCCTACCGATGACACCAATGGAGAGGAAAAATGACCTCGACATGGCAATGTCATGACTGTCTTTCATAAGAGCAAAGCACGAGCTATTAATTATGTTTAGTTGGTGAGCAAGATTATCGATGGTGCAGTTGGATTATTCACATCAAAAGAATAGTGGCCAGCAGATGTTTGTTGGAATATTATTCTTCATAATTACGTCAGCTAAACTGAGAAGGATTAGTGTTCATTTTCATTCAGTGCAATGATTTTCTTCATCGGTAGTCAACAAAACGCTCCTGTAGGCAGGTCAATTAGCTGATTAAAAGATTATCCGAAATGTTTGTTGGCTACTGACTGTGCTGCTCATACAAGACAGAGCCCATCGTTGAGCTTAAAATCAATATCAATATCAATATAATACATTTCCATAGAGAGATAATTTATGTTTTTGGTTAGCATAATGACACAGCACTGTTTTTCCGTAAAGTAAACATGCCTGAAGCCTTTTGCAAACACTACAGTGCATAAAACTCCCACAAAGACAAACACAAGCCAGCTTGATGTCTGCTGAACTGTGATGAGGACACGAGCTCAGCAGGGGGCTGGAAGAAAGTAAATTCATTATCTTACTAAGCATCATGTATGCATTGCTGTGCATGTGAGCCTTATCCCCACGAGAAGCAGGCCCACGTCAGCGTGGTTTCATGCTAGGCCATTTGATTTATGGATTACGGTACTGGCATTATGCTCTGTTTACAGTAAATTAAGGCTCTATCTTGATAACTGCAGCCATGAGGACATCTTATCTTCCCACAGCGACATTTTGATGTGCTTGTTCAATAGCCTTGCTGTACCTGAAGGCCGCCATACCTCTCACATGTGATAGATTCCCACAAACTGTCCAGCTTTGACCGTGAACTCCAGGTCACCCCATGGTCCCCGGGTGCAGTCCTGTCGAACATTGTTTCACTGGCAGACATACTCAACCCATCAGACAGAAAGACCATGCAGCTGCACCCAAACACCCAACAATAGAATGCTTGTTCTAGGACAGAAAAGGTCGGGTCCCCTTTTTAGGGAAGGGGGTGATGTGAGCGGGTGGTAAAATATTTCAGGGGTTTTGCAATAGGATAATCCTTTGTGATGATCCCTTTGAATGAAAGCGATCATCTGCAGATTTGTGGAGCATTCAACGACGTGAAAAGCGTATCCTTCCACTTAAGAAATATTTTTTTACCGGATAGATAAATTGAGCAATATGTTCTGCACAAAACACTTTGACATATGAATATTTCCAAAAATTGCCTTACATCAGTTATGTACTATACTATATGTAGAACAGTGCATTTTACATTTATTTCTTTACTTCTTGATTCATTTATTTATTTCATGACTGGATAAAAGGCCAAGACAAAGAAAGAAAAATGTGCCGCAATCTGTGCAACACAATTAATTGTTAAAGTAACAGGAAATAATCAAATGTCAAAAACCCTGTGATGTGTAAATCAGTTCAATCGGGTCTATAAGTGAGCACATGTGTTGGAAACATGGTGTGGAAGTGAAAACAGAAAAACAAAAAAGTCTGGACTGCTAATCTGAGCTAATCAAACAGGAAATTTAATTAGCATTGTCATGACAGACAGCAAAATAACACAACAGCAACAAGAAATGTGACGTACGACGCATTAAAACTGACACTTCGCAGATGACCATTGGAAATGGAATCTAAGAGAATTAATGACACATTTTGAAGCGCAAAATATTTTGTTCTGTCTAGTGTTTTTTGTATGCTTTCACAGGACCCTTAACTAAAGCAAGGAAACAAAGGTTCAGACAAACACACACACTTGCACACAGGCACACACATACTTCTTTGTTGGAAGTATTTGCCAATTAGCAAGTTGTGGGGTTGGAGTGGTAATTAGACTTTCCAGTCGGCTGGTGTCTGTGTACAGCTTAGCTGAGACAGGTCCGAAGCTAAACGCCTCGCTATTTGTCCAGCAATTATGTCAGGTCCCCATGTCACAGTACAGACGTGACCAATTAGCTGTGCCAAGCTAAAGTGAAAGAGAGGGATTATGGCAGAGGAGATGGGAGCGGATGAAAAAGTAGACAGAGAACGGGTGTGGTGTGTGGAGCTCGTAAGAGGGCGAGAGTGAGGGATAGTCTGTAGGGAATAAGGGAGAATAAAAGGGAGTCTGGCTTTGGAAATGAGGGGAAGGAGCGGGTAAGGAGGGTGTAAGGGAGCGGATTACTTTTTTTTTTTCTATTGCTGTGTGATCATGTTTTGCATTGATCCTTGTCCTGACCGACATGTGGCTAAGACATGCTAATGCTTGTTGATATGTATGCTAATGCCGTCTCAGTGACTGAGTAGGGATACGATTTTTATTTATTTATTTATTTTATTTTATTGACGACTCAATAATTCTCCCTTACATTATATGACATACTTTGATTGAAACAGGCCTGCATACGATCAATAATCTCCAGCTCGGAGTAATGTGACACAGTGTCAACAGCCGTAGGAAAGTGTACAGTGGTCTAGTTCATCTTGGCATTGGTCCATATTTACCTCAAACTGACAGATCATACTACATATTGAGCACTGGAGCACCTGCTATCTGGGCTAGTCAAAACAACTCCTAATCTATGATATGGTCCCCAGTCTGTCTCAGGGTACACACAGATGGCGTGGTTAATTTTATTTCTTTTTGTGGGTTTTTTAAGTTTCCTCAGCCAAAGTGGTTCCACAAAGGAAAATAACAAATAACTACAGAAGATAGACTAAAATGCAGATTATGTGTCCATGAAATGCTGCTGGAACTTTCAGTCCATCACAGCAACATTGGAGAACAAGAAGCTGTTAAAGTTGTGGAGATCTGAAATGAAATTTATTGTGCCTGCTGCAACACAAAAAGAACCAACATAATCCTCTGTTGAAACTTCTCAGAGCGCATCAAGGGGGGAGCGTTTCGAAAATATCTGCTCTACCCAGACACCGAGACCACCCGATCCAAGGTTCTGTATTTAATTGGACAGGGAAAGGGAGAAAAGGGGAGCCATGGGACAAGGCGAGGGGCAGATGAGGTAGAATCTATGATCTGAGCATCTTTCCTATTTTTGCTGGAAAACAAGACTGTTGGCTCAGTGCCTGCAGAGAAGAGTGGAGCTCATATAAATTAGTGGGCTTGGAAGACAATATGGGGATCTTTGGTGTTGCGTGGTATTGACATAGCTCCAGTGTGGATGCCAAATGTTTTGATTTGATTGTGACAACATGTCTTGCAAACTTGTTAGGCTGTGAGCATATCGACCCTGTTGTGACAGTAACGTTTGAGAAATTATAACTGATTTGGAATTATGTCACTACATCTTGGTATTCCACTGGACAGATGTGCAATTTAATTCAGGCTTTTCACTGCTAAATTAGGCAATCTACTTTAGAATAGTGGTCTTTAACTCAAAGTAACAACATCAGTAATAGCAAGGAACATAGCAACTGAAGGAGCATTAGAAATAGATGAACTCTGGGTAACTTCTCCCAAGGATCAATATCCATTCATCAGGTGCCGGTAGCTATAAAGATGAAAGAAAGCATTAGAAAATATATATTTTTACAGACAGTGTTACTCTGAATGTCCTCAGGCTTTTCCGAGGCAGTGGGAATAATGCAGTCTCAACCTGTCTGAAACACAAACATCACATCAGACAGATTTGGATGCAATTCCTGCTTACAGGTATACTGTGCACATTTAAAGAAATATGCAGAGTTAAAGCTGGGACTGTGGTATGTTTATCTGAAGTAGATAGTTATCTGAACTGAGGCTTTTGGTGCCACTTATTGTGAAAACCATGTTATTGTAAAAAAAGCTACATGAAGTTCTGGTAATGATTATAGGAGCGAGAGATGGCCATAAATGATAAGCAGTGAAATTGAATGTGTTTGTCTTGGGCATTTACTTGACTGGAGAACATGTTTGTGATTATGTGTTGGCACGGTACCTCACGGAAGAACAATTTACTTTAAGTCCACATGGATGAATTATCAATTCAAAACACAATATAAAGACTCAGTCAGGAGATCGGGTCACATTTCTTAAATAATTTAATTGCAAAAGGGTCTTTTAAAAATATTTCTACAAGAATGCATCATCATTTTTTAGTAATTTGTTGTGTATGTCTGCACCATTAAATACATCTTAATGCTTTTCAAAGAGGAATTAACAATTGCATTTCTCAGCGCTTTATTCCGTCCCCCCTCCAAGTTCACTACACATGTACAGTTCTCTCTGAAACATATCACTTCCTTGTATAAAGAGGGGGTTTTCAAAAGTGACCAAAAGACAGATGTGGAGTGATCTTGTTAGAAGACAGAAGAAAACACAGTACTGTATATATTTATTTAAAACAGACAACTGAAGAAAATTTGTAAGTGGAGGGGTTTTCGGAGAGGGTGGGTGTGTTTGATGATCCGTGGATCATGTAAAATAGGGGAAGAAAGGTGGAAGGAATGTTGGGATAGTTTGGATCCTATTGGCACACATAGAGATAACCACATCTGACAAAGCCTAAACTCTGCTGATCAAAGTGTTTCTGTATAAAATGGCAATCCTTTTATTTCACACACTCTCACACACACACAAATATAACAGTCCATCATCATTTCAGCAACATGCAGTCAGAAGGAAGAACAAAAAAACACGAGTGAGTTTCTTTCCTCTCTGTGAATGTTGAATATTAAACACTCCCATGAATGTGTGAAAAATCCACTTAAAGATTAATTGTTTGCAGTTGATGTGGTGGCAGTTTAATCATTTTAAGATGTGCAACAGTGCCAGTTGAGCTCATCACTCACGGCCGGTTGACTTTAGTGAAGACAACTCCAGACCCTGGAGCAGCATGTGCACCTCATCAATAGTTCATGCAAGCTCCAAAGCGCTGCTATTTTTCATGAGTGGGCATGTCTGCCATCTGATTGTGTTTAGCCCCCATATGCCCCCCTTCTCTTTTTCTATGCTCATCAACTGTTTTTTGGTGTCACATGCGGAATTTGCAACAGAGGGGCTTAGCTGATTGAGCTGAGTGTAGGAAGAGGGATTAATATTGTATATTCCTGGGAGACTTTGGGGAAACGTGAGCTTCTGATTGCATTAATTCTGCTCTTCTGTCACCTCCAAAGGTAGACTCTATCACTCTTCCAAACAAAATGCTGTTTAGCTTTGAAGAGAAGCAAAATAATTCTGCAGAAAATGGTTGCTCGTCTAACAGGCACTTTCAACACTTTCACGTCATGATAACAAATCATGCTGACAATACTGGCGTTTCTGATTCTCCAGCAATTGTATCGGAAATCTTAACTGATGCTTTGATGAAACAAATGTAAGGATATTGAAGGATATATAAGGGTAATGTAGTTTGAGTACACAACAATTAAATTACTACTTGTTTGTGTACTACAACTGTTGGTTAGTAACCCCTTTACAGAGTGTACTAGCAGTATTGAAAACTTATGTGTGTGGAAGATGAAACAATATAAAACGGGAAACACATTGTTGTTTTGCATAATATTATCCACGACTTTGGAAGGGACTTAAGAGCGGCTGACAAAACTAATATGGCAAGACACACTGCATGGCCACTAACATCACGCTATCATTACACACCTAACTAATAATATTCACATATTGCATTGATCAGCTCCAACCCAAACAATATGGAGACTGTCTGGAAGATCACACTAGTGATGCAGCCCCATCCCTTCATCCACTACCTTCAAACACCCCTCTGTGAGAAGTGCAAATAGTATAGTCTCCGTGATGCAGCTGCTATCACTTAGGATGAGGGGCCTGCAGATTTTGGCTTTCTGCGTGCCAGGGCTGTTGATCCTGCACTGTACTAATCATGCAGCAGCCTGAGCTGAGACAGGATGATTGCAGGCCAGACAGGAAATGAAGAGAGATAATGATAGGTCAGCCTGCCGTATGTCTGTGCTCTCTGCATGCTCGTGTCCTCGCGATGCCAGATTGGCTGCTGCATTAATCGACCTGACAGACAAAGACCAATAGGTTTTTTCTTCTGACAGCTCTGGGTTCTTTGATGAGGATCGTGTTGCAAACTGAAAGTCTAGTGATGGAGCTTCACCTCTGGGATGATTGAAATGATTGGTAGGTAAACTGCATAATCTCTGGACCATCCCCTTAATGACTCGTCAACAGTCTGACAAGATGGGTTGGGAGGATCCCATTGTTGGAGGTGATGGTAAATAAGTAAAATTAAAACAGATAATTCCACAGATTTGCCCTAGAATGGTTTGCAGGAGGTTCACAGTTGAAAACAATGTGCCTGGAAGACGATTAGTAACAGCTCGGTGCTTCACAAATGCTCTTTATGTTGAAAATGAGAATCGATAGGGGAAGCTTAATATCCAGTTCAGGTGGCACACACAAACGTGGACACACCTACACAGACACTCAGACAACAATGGACGGAGAGCAAAAGGGCGACATGTTATTACCAGTATTCTAACCATGGGTGTTTTCTTCCTCCTGACTTTCCCCATTCTCTCTCTTCTTCCTTTGCTTTCTGTTAATTTCACTCTGAATCAAACATTTCACAACAGCACTTCCATTTTGTCAAAACACCATTTTTCTTTTGTCATTTTATCGTATTTTTGTTACAAAACATGTACAGGCTGTTTAGAACAACAACAAAAATACAATATCCAATTTATATGCAGTTTCCTTTGTTTAATAACCATCAATTCATCAGGTGAATCCTCTTGGAGTTTCTCTTCCTTCTGATTGTTCCAAGTCCACTGGATGGCCTACCATCCATTTGGGTGTTGGTGGGGTACAAATAAATACATAGGGCAGGATGTCAAGAAATTAAAACAAGAATTTTGATTATTTCTAAATCCAGATAATAGTAAGTAGAAAGTAAGGTGTCCATCATGGTTTCTCTCAGTTTCTGCATGATGCATATATATATATATAATTTTATATATATATGTATGTCCTAAGTTCATTTTTTGGATTCAATAAAAAAGAATGTTTAACAGTTGTCCACAGAATATAGCGTAATTGTTTCAGATATATTTGCTCCTTGTCACGGTTCAGTTCATGCGTTAATTCTCCACGGTGGCAAATAGCGGAAGCTGTATTGTACAGTATACTTGTGTGCAACTTGACACACCCGTACATCCAAGCACACTTAATCACACATACACGCACACATGCGCACACACACACATACAAAATCGCACACAAAAGGCCAAGTGGTCTTTCTATAGTGTTGCCACAGTCCTTGTCTCCCCTTAATCACTTCAAGCGTCCAGTGGGGGTACTTCGGTTTGACCGGCCATTTTGAAACCACAAATCTCCCAAAAAAAAGTGTAAGAAAGCCAAAAACAGAAAAGAAAAAAAAAATGGTGTGTGGACAAACAAAAATAAAACATTTGTATGCTTCAAAATACAATTGATGAGCAGGTGATCCCAAGCTGTGGAACTATCCTGAGTCACTTCAGGTCAGGGTGAAGAGGTCATCTGGTGACCTACTGAGGACTCTGCAGCCAAAACAAGCGTCCAGAAATGTGGCTGCCATCCTTTGACCTTTTTAACCTCTGTCATTCTCTTGACCTTTGACCTCATTTTACCTCTTCCATCACCTCACCCTTCTCCAGCAAGTGCCCTTTTAGATAACACACCTTCAATATGAAGATGGAGAAACACACACACATGTGCACAGTAAAACAACTTCTATCAGGGAAAGAACTGTCCTCTATCTCCTGCGGGTCCTCTTTTTTTTTGTTTCATTTTTTTTATGTGTGTGAACAATCGTTCACTTTTTCTTCACTATGTATTACGTCCATTGAAGATGGGTTGAGAGGTCAAGGGGAGGGACTCTTGTGTGAGGAACAGAGTGTGACGTTTCAGTTACAGGCTAAGGCCAACCTCACTAAAACACACATGCATGCAAACGTCAACCCACACCAGAGCTGGTGAGGCACGCATGGGATATAAGGGGGTCTTCTTCCTCTTTCAAAAACACACTAATTCTGATTGGATGGAAAAAGAAACAATGACGAATAACAAAAGAGCAAGAACAGGAAATGGTAGTGGTAGTGAAATAAAGAAAAAAAAATAGTCAGAGGCACTGCAAGCCAGTTTCATAGCATCTAATTGGCAGAGATGGGTCAGGCAGCTAGGGTTTTCCAATGGCTCTCTCTGGCACAGTTCCTCCCCCTTTTTCCTGTCTGGCTGTCCTTCAACTGCATCGGTCTGTGTATGTCCTGTCGCTCACACCTGGACAGGAAGTGTTTGGTTCATCTGTAGTCTCATGTCCTGAATGCTACCAAGAATCTTCTTCTGATGGCCAGCCAACGTTACCCCTATCCGCAGCAAGTCCCTGTGGAGCGAGAAGAAAGGAGAAGAAAATAAGAACAGGTGGCTCAGTCATAAAAAAAATAAAAGTGGACAAATATCACGTGTCCATAGTTGAAGTGCAAATTTCACTTTCCCACAAGTAAACACACACTCTACCAGGTGGGAACAGGGACAGGCAAGCACCTTGGCAATCACACATAAAATGACTGATGGAGGGTATGTCAACAAAATGGGGACACTCATCAAGCTATAGAGAATGTTGGTCTTAATGCAAAATACTTCTGTTGCCCAGCAGGTGGGCAAAAGAAGGCGAGTCAAAGGGCCATAATGGGATAGTTAATGATTAAAGAGCAAACCAAACTACTGTTGGCAGCTGGCAGACTTCACAGAGTCTTCACTACCCTGCCACGAGGCTCAGAATTATTAATTATTTTATTTTATTTTTTGTAAGATACTAGACAGATTACTCAGTTAGGGGCCTGTCATTCATACTTATAGAATGGGTCTGTGTGTCAGTAAATCAGCTTTTACTTGGTCACTGTTGCTCAACATTCTTCAGAAAAAGCTACAACCAATAAAGCTGGGAAGTGTAAATGTAACATTACAGAGTGATCTTTAAAGTAAGGGTCTTAACCTCAGGTTGAGGGTGCAGTGGGAAAATATGAAAATGTTGACATACAGTAGACATTACTACATCCTTAAAAAGGCCTGGGAGAGCGCACCTGCTTTGGTCGTCATTAGTCAGACGCCATAATCTAATCTTCATGGCCATGTTGGTTTAACACTGTACAATAACATCACAAGAACCTCTCTTTTCCGCCCGCTTGTTTGATTTCCCCAGTTGATAGCTGAGGAGAGAGCGGACGGCGTCTGGGGCAGCGATTAGCCGACTGTTGGGGCTCTGCCACAGTCTGCGTCCTCTCCGTTCAGTCTCTCACACACACACACAAATACTGGATAACCTAATATTACATGCACACACCATACACTCTACTTGTCTCAATGACTTTGTGGCTCCATCTATTGTAGTACAAAAGTGTGTACCTCAACCCACACATGAACAAATGCACACAGGCATACAGTACGTGCAAGTGCACACACACCCAGGTCCGCACTGCACACCCATCCTTTCCAAAGCCAGATAAAGGTGCATCATCGTAATTTCACACAAATAAATGGTGTTTTTTTTTGTTTTTTCATATTTCGTCATCCCCATCAGTGCAGCAATGGAGGATGAAATGATAATAAATGGGCACCATTAGAGGAATTACTGGCCATTAAGGGCAACAGAGAGCCACAGTACACCACACCTGTCAGCCTGGCCAAATTGAAACAAATTACCCCCACCTCCATTGCCTATTATGCAGTTAATGAGGATAATGTATTTATCATTATAATCCTAATTCATTTATTTGATCATCACTAGCCTTCAATTTCCATGACTTCCATTACATAATTTCCTGTTTGTACACACGGCATAAGGTGGGTGAGTCGTCAAGGTCAACTGGAGATCGTAGTTAAAGGAAGCCGCTACAAGTGCTTGCTGAAAATTGTACTGCACTGTTAAATTGTGCATTTGTTGATTGTCTATCCAATTTGTTAGCTTCTGAAGCAGGTGATTGTTACTAGTCCAGTCCTGATTGCATAATCCTCCCCATTCTACAGCAAACCTACCCTGATTTGTCAATTACACACCAAATTACAGGAAAAGCACAGATGATCTTATGTTTTCTCATCCCCTGGATAATCTCTCTCTCGTGTCTCTTGGAAGGTTGTGTTTCCAGTAAATCACATTTTCCTTTTTAAAACTACCTCCATACACTACATTATGTCTACATAAATACTGGCGCAGTAAAATGCATGCTACTGTATGTCTTCAAGGCATGATTTATCTTCAAAGCACTACAAATGTACTTCTGAAATGTCTGCTAAATGCACCAATATAGTAAAATGTGATTTTTTTCATCCTAAATTACTTGGTGTCTGAGCCTATAAGAGCCCATTCCACATCTTACCATGTTTAATTTAGCCATGAGACTATTTTTATTCCCTCAAGGTCAATCTGTGTAACATTAATTTGACTCTCAAACTCAGCCCAGTCAATCACTTTAGGCCTGATTAGCTGAATCTACTCCCTCTACACTCACTCTGCTGTCATCTGGGCCACCAGGTCAAAGGAAGCAAATCCGGCGTTGACGAAGTTGTCACGGTAGCGGCTCATCTTGATGGCATCCAGCCAGTCCCCCACAGTGGTGAAAGTGGTATAGTCTGGCACACAGCGGTCAAGCAAGGGCTGGGAGACCCTACAGTGGGGAGGGGGAGGGACAAGGGAGAAAGAGAAACAGAGAGAGAGAGAGAGAGAGGGTTAAGGTCGTCACTCTACTGCCTCTACCGGCCAACCTCACCCCCAAACGCCCCCCACTGAGCGCCACCTCTCCATCTCTCTTCTCCCCTCTCCTCTCCTCTCCTCCACATGTAAGGAGTTGTGTGCAGGGGTTGGGGGCGTGTGGGGGGGCACGTTTATGACTGTGGAGAGACTGGCTGGAGGCTCGGGTGGTGGATGCTGGCGCTGTAGCTGGTGAGGTGAGGTGGTGCGTGTTCACAGAGAACAACATGTCAAATCTGGTCTTAACTGATAGCTACCCGCATTGTAATTTACAAGGAACCACATCAGATTTAGAAGAAACTATACACATTTGCTAACATCAAACATTAAAACAACAGGTGTCATAGTAACCATGTGGGCAAAATTCTCCCACGTATCCCATATGAACCCTTATGAAATCGTGGAGATATCTTGATAGCTGTCTTTCTGTTTTTGGTTCCTGTTCTCCTCGTTGCAATGAGATGTCAGTGTGTTGCATGGGGACTGACAAAACAAAAATAAAATCCCACATGAAATCCAATCTGAGTGGTTGTACTGGGTTGCACTTTCAAACCACCTACAAATGTGGTTTAAATATGATCTGGAAAGATTGCATTCCATGCGGTTTTGCCGGTCAGCTCAAATCAGATTTGGGCTTCCTTTATGAACATGAGCTTAACTAGTGCGATATAAGCCATATGCTGTACAGTACATTGTTATTGCATTTAATGTGCATTGTCTCAGGGTGTGTTTGAGGAGAAAAATACTTAATGGTAATGGAGATATAATCTGTGGAATGTAAACACAGATGTTCACATGTCTGTGTTGTGCATGGTAGGACTGACTCATGAACCTGTGGACGCTGGCAACATGGAAGGAGCGTTTGACTGTGTAGCTGTGTGTATATGAATGTACTAAATTTAGTCTTTACTTCTTTACTTGGTGTGTGTGTATGGGTGTGTGTGTGTGTGTGTGTGTATTCCTGAGTGTGTTCTGCATGTTCCTGCGCACCTGTTGACAGCGCAAAAGGGCCTTTCTAAAGAAGAAAGTGTGCGCTGATCAATGCTGTAGATAGAGAGGCCACCTTAGGAGTTTTAATAAAACTGTGCTACAACTCAGAGCGAAGTGGAGCGGATGAACAAGAGAGGACGTGGAGGGAGGTTGAAGGAGGAGAAACAGATGAGGGAGCAGGCAAAGAGAAAGAGCACCACTGTCTCCCCTCCTCTCTGCTCTGTTGATCCCTGTCATCCTTTTTGATGGCATTAGATTCATTAACAATTAAAAAAGGAATGAAGGGAGAAAGAGGGAGAAAAGAGAAAAAAGCCATGGAGGGGGAGTTAATAACAGTGATACAGAGGCTCCATTGAGTGGTGTAGATGGAGCAATTTTTTAATAAGGCCTGTGCTTTGGAGCCCAAGGCCTCAGGCCGTCGTTAACGACAGACTCTGGCTTCTCTTAATGGAGTATTGTTAGTCCTCCTCTAAAGTTGGCTTCAAAAGGGTCCAGATCATTGCTGGCCATGTGTGAGCCACAAGCAGAAACACAGCAGGAAAGCTGGGTAATACTGCACGCTAGCTGGTGAGACAGTTACAGGCTGAGCCCATATTCCAGTTCACTTGTTGTGAGTTTCAGTTTCTCCAAAGGGCTGTTTTGTTTTTAAGAGGTTTAGAGAGTGGATGTGATTCATTTCTCAAGTAAGAATTTCTGCATTTACAACTGCTTCGTTCTTTGCTTTTCTCCCTGGTCATGGAATCATTTGCAAAACGTGCTACATCTTATGATCTAGTCCCCTTCGGAAGAATTTAAACACATGTTAAAAGTCCATGTAACTGAGAAATGTAACTGCCCTATTTGAGCTTGATTTAGTCCTTTCCTTGTGCGTGTGATTTGTTTCCCCCTACAATTATGTTTAATTTCTATTTAATTGTAACAGGTTTGTTGTGTTATCCAGGTCTCCCTCTGAAAAGAGATTTCAATCTCAAGGGACTTCCTGGTTAAATAAAAGTTAAATAAATAAATGAGAGACACTCAGCAGTAGAAAGATAAACACAGAAATGACTCATGCTAAAGTGCTGGAAGCCTAATATCACCAAAGCTCAATTACTCATTACACTTTACACTTACAATGCAATATGCAGTCATGTCAAGTACACATAACACACACAACCAAAGGACTTTTATGCCAGACAGTGTTAGCTAACCTCCAGCCACCCTTCAACGCCGAACAGGACGACGGTATCATCCCTCACTTCTCCCTTGTTAGGTTTGTCGGCAGGAGGCCACCTCTCCGCTGGCCCGTTTAAAATCTCGTTAGTGGCTAATTAAAAGGCGCTCCCATCTCTTTTTTGCATCGCCTTAATCGAGCTAATTAACCGCAAGCTTAATCTTCTAAGAACGTCACTCCGGTGGCCAACCGAGACCCTGATTTTCCCCATGAGCCCAAACCAGGATTGTCTGTGGCCCTCCCTCAAGACAGAAAGACCCTGATGCAGGGACAGATAGGTAGGTCATCCCCCTCCCTATTGCTCCAACTCTGCCACCTTCTATTCTCCAAACTCTTTCCAAGAAACAGTTTGCAGAGAGTGGTAGTGCAGCTAAATGTAGATGTGACATTATTGATTGAGCTCCCAGTTGGTTGGGGAGTTGCTTTAAGGGCTGCATTGAGCGATGGTAATTTGGATTTGCATAATGGCCAAGGCTGCATTTGTGAGAACTACAGAGTTGTATGGGAAGAAATGTGCACTTTATAGGAGAGATTGTTACAGCTGAGTCAGAGTGACTCACATACACTGTATCAACTTGGATAAGGAATATTTGTACAATGGAAATCATTATCGCAGTTGCTCTGGCTCAGGTGCAAATGAAATGTTTCAGCCAGTACTCTCACGGCTAAAAAGTCAACTGACTTCATTCTATAAACTAATGACCTGCAACTGCAGAATATTACAAAAGTCCAGCAGGTCTCCTCCAACATATGATTTGAGAAAACCAGAGAAGATTTTATAGAGCGATCAACACTAATATCCATAATGCTTTGACTATAATTATATATTATTGCCCTTTATGAAGATCACTAATCCACCTAATAAAACTCAACAAGGATCTCCAGGGAAACAAAGATCAACAGTATCACAGTTAAAGTCTATTTCTCTAATTACCAGCTCCACCACACATACTGTACAAGATTCAGCATTTGCTTTACTTGACAGGGCTTTCATACTGATTCTGAACTTAATGTGACCATCACACTTTTTATATCATAATATTACAGCTTACCCAGTAGACTGTGTGCTGTTGGTGACCACCTTGAGGCTGGCAGCATTGCGGATAAGCTTATCCAGCGTGGCCACAATCTGGGTGAATTTGGGTCGCAGGTTCCTCTCTTTCACCCAGCAGTCCAACATGAGTTGGTGCAGTGCTGTGGGGCAGTCCATGGGTGGGGGCAGTCGATAGTCCTGCTCCACAGCATTTATCACCTGAGGAAGGGTGACAGAGAAATCACAATCACTTCCAATCACGAAATATAGTGTAGAGGGAGGATGGACAACACAAGGAGAGAGATGGGTCGATGAAAAGAGCAAGTGAGGGAGGACAGAAGAGGATAAATGAGGGAAATGATGGGAGAGTCAGAGATAAACATGAAAAGGGCTTTAGGGAATACATAGATATAAGGGCCAGAGTGGAGGAGTGGCAGTTGTGGGTGGGTATGTAAAGAGAGAACTGCTTTTAGACAGTGATAGCAAAAGTGCTTAAAAACTATATTTATATCTTCTACTGCAAAATGCTACTGTAATGTTGAATATTTCAGTAAAGTTTTTTTTTCAAATGATCAATACCAATGTAACATTAAGTATGCATATATCACATCATAGTAAAAAAAAAAAAAAATCCTCATATCAGCTTACATCTTGATTGCTCATGTCCCAGTACGGCCGCTCCCCATACGACATCACTTCCCACATGACAATGCCGTAGCTCCACACATCACTGGCCGAGGTGAACTTCCTGTAGGCAATCGCCTCAGGAGCCGTCCAGCGAATGGGGATTTTTCCTCCCTGTGGATATGCGAATGAGTAGGTGAGCATGAAATACTGGAGGGATGGAGCACAAACACAGGATCACACACATACGAGAGGAAGAGAGAGGGTGAGAAAAACAGTCTAAGGGAAATGTTGGTCCACAACACATGGGTCCATGCAGTACAACGCAAACACCACATACACAGGTTAGTAACACAGTTACATAAAATGATATGTACAAACATGTGAAGCTAGGAGAATATTTAATGTGCTACAAACTATTTTTTAACATCAATATATCACAATCATCAAATTATCTAATACACCTACCAGACAAACTGAATCGTAGGTGAGGTGATTGGCATCTCATGCCAGCAGTGTCTCTCATTCTTAAAGAATACACTTCCCAATTAACACCATTGCTTCCTGTCAACAAGAGACTTGCCATTCCTCACCCCTGACATTGCTCTGTGTGTTTTTGCTTTTTCACATAAACTAAACTTTGTACACAGGCCGGAGGAGGCTTCCTATCTTTATACCAGAGCTCATGTTCTGACAATTATATAATTGCCATATTTATACAATTATAGTCTTAAAGTCCCCTTTCCCACGTGCCTTAACCTGCTTTGTCAGTTTTACATGTTATGTCATGTGAGAATAGCCAAAATATTCAATTTCGAATAGGTTCAACACAAGGATCTTTGTTTCGTTAAATTTCTAGAAATCGGTTACAGCTTCAGTGGAAACACCCAACATTTCCAGGTAAAATTTTACATAGCCACAAAAGTGTCTCTGGAGGTTTTGTGTGACTCCAAAATGTAATTTAAACATCAATTTAGCTGCAATTTCTTTGGCTTAGTCATTTGTTCCAACTCTTCTTGTTTTTCCCACCTGCCATTTACAGTGAGAATAAAAAAAACTCCCTTCCTACCCATAATGGTCATGTCATGTGGGAACAGACTTGACACAGATCTATTTTTTGAATACACTCATACTTGCCAATTTTGTGGATTAATTTGTAAAGGGGGCTGAAATGAACATACTAGTGATGCATTGATGTTAAAAATCATTATATGTAGCACATTTAAACATTGATTTTAAACATGAATAAACTTACACACAAACACATACACACATTTATATCTTGACTCACCAGGGAGCTAGTGTAGGTGGGGTCTGTAGGGTCATCCTCGAGGAAACGAGATAGGCCGAAGTCAGACACCTTACACACCAGATTACTGTTGACCAAGATGTTACGGGCAGCCAAGTCTCTGTGCACGTAGTTCATGTCTGACAGATACTTCATGCCTGCTGCGATACCTCGCAGCATGCCAACCAGCTGGATCACTGTGAACTGCCCGTCATTTAGCTGGCAAAGAAAAAAATGGGAATGACAAGGATGAATTTGACTGTAGATCAAGATTGCATTTTCAAAAGAATATATGTAACTTTATTTGTCCTTCCTATCTTCATTTTTCAGTGTCTCTTACTTTCTTTGCATATGTCCTCTTACCTCCACCTTTAATCTCCAATCACTTCACACTGTAACGTATTTCTCAGTTCTACCTATCCATCCTCCATTCCAGTCTTCTCTATATCTCCTTGTATCACTCCCCTTTCTCTGGCAGACAATGTATGATGTGACTTTGAGACAGTGATTCATTGGAGACTGAGCCCTTTGTAAATGTCACCAATTGCCTGAATACAGCATTTGTAAGATAACCATTGTGGGTTCTGCAGCAGAGCTTAAAAAGACCTTTTACGGCTCCAAAGAAAGTGAGATAACTAAAAGCAAGATCAAACAGATCTGGGAAGGCTTATTTGCCAGATAGTGTTGCATTATTGATAAAATTACAAGTAGCTAATATTTATTTATATTTAGTTATTCTTGTGTGTAATGTGATCATGGGTGCCTGTTTTTACTCACCCTTAGGAAGGAGTCCAATGCTCCATTCTCCATGAACTCAGTCACAATCATTACTGGCCGACTCTTGGTGACCACACCTTCCAGACGGATAATGTTGGGATGGTCGAACTGGCCCATGATAGAAGCCTCAGACAGGAAGTCTCGCCTCTGGCGGTCAGTGTAGCCCACCTTGAGAGTCTTGATGGCGACAATGATCTCCCGGCGCCCAGGCAGCTTGAGGCGACCGCGGCAGACCTCCCCAAACTCTCCTGCGAGAGCCCACGTGAGACAGCCAGAGAAACAGCAAAAGGAGATAGAGAGAAAGAGGGAGGGGAGAGAGGAATGACGGAAGAGTGGAGGAGAGTGGGGGAAAAGAGGGGAGAGGGGACAGTTAACTGGTTAGAACCAAGGAGCCAGGGAAGGGTAGCAGGAGGGGTGGGACAGGGGGAACTGCAAGAGAAGCCAGGACTCTAGGCCAGTGTCAGAGGATGGTGGTGATAGGGGAGCATACAATGACTTTGTGCTGTTATGCTACAGATTAAAGGAAACAGCATGATGAGTGTGAGGCATGATGATGGAATATGAGAAGATGATGATGTTGAGATGATGAGTTGAAAAAAACGCATGTTGAAATGAAAAAAAGGATAAAGTAGGGTCACAGGGTGAGAGGAGCTCAAAGGGACAGAGGAGGAAGGGGGCAAGGTTCAGGGGGGTGGTGCTAAGCTTCAGAGAAGCGGGCACAGGAGGAGGAGATAGGTGGAGACAGAAGTTTGGGGGTTCTTGGGGTTGTGGACGCTTTACGTTTAGAGTCTACACCAAGCGTGTGCAAGAATGCAAGACAAATTAGGCGATGAGAGCAATGTGTGTCAACATGGGTGCAAAGGTGATTAAGTGGGGGAAGTCAGGGGGAGGTGGGAAAGGGTATGGAGTAATGGAGGGATGGATTGAGGATGGGGTAGAGGAGAGGAGGGGGACAGGGAAGACAGGGGTTGAGGGTTCGTCACTTAAAAGGCGAATGCTGGGAAGCGACGGGTTTCAAGTAGTAGCCTCAGCAGTAGAAGAGTTGTTGTAGTAGTAGGAGCAGTAGTAATGGTAGTAGCAGAAGCAGTAGTAGGGACTCCCATCTCTGCCATCAAACGTCCTCCATTTTGGCTCAGATACAATGCTAAGAAAACTCAACCTCATTTGGCACAATCCTGCAGCTTTTGAGCAGAGATATTACACTATCATATCAAATACATAAAATATTTTACCATCTAACACATCAAATGTTAGGAAGGGTTTCTAAAGGAGGGGACACAATTGACACATTGTGGAAGAGGTGTAAGTGCCAGGAACAGGGGTCAAATATAGTGATCCAGTGGAATTCCTCTTTAATAAAGAGGTTTTCAAGACACTAAAAAGCGGGCAGGATCAGAGACGGCCAATCCTGGACGAGAAACATTTTAATATTGTATGCCCCATCCAGACAGGATTAATGTTTTAGAGGGATGCAAGAGACAAATATTAACATGAATTGCTTTATACAACCCAAAACATTCCCCAGGCTACTATACATAATGCACATGCGCATGCACATGGACTTTCAATAACAACTGTATGTCAGTAATCAAATAATGGGATATGGGACTGTATAAATGTCTTTTATTACACCCTGCAGAACTCAAATGTGGATGATTACTGTAACTCAAATACAACGTGTCTATCTGTAAAGGAAGTTTAAAAAAAATAGAAGGCCAACAAGTGTGCCAGAAAAACAATAGTGCTGTAATTAATACTGGAAGAGATAAGAGAAAAACCACACACATGCGCTTGGACAGGATTAAAAGTTCCCCTAGAGAAATAAATCCTGTCTGTATGAATAAATCCTGTCTGTATGGGGCTTGCATTGTCCAAAATCTTCTTCCATTTGATGATGAAGATTTTTGGAATCAATTAGCAATGACTGCCAAATAAATAATGTCCTTACACAGCAATTCTCTTGTTCCAGGATTGGGCTCTGTTTTTAGGACATGGGTGAAATGATAATCCACCATTCAAAAGGTATACATCTACTCTAAATGCACATGTCATGGTAAACAATGTAAGGGTGCTAGGACAGTGAGTCAAGCTAACTTAAAGAGGACATACTGTAGCTAGTAAAGCTTAAAACACAGGACAGTGCTGGAGACATCTATAATACTTTAAAGGGGTTCCTAAGAGATGACGAGTGTGGGAGGGGAGGGAGCAAGGAGAGGGCTAGCGATGAATTGAGTGAAAGTACCGCTTGGTGTGAAGTCCTCTAACGGTATGGCCTGGAGGTGACTAGCAGTCTTCCCCCTGTAGCTCAGGAGCTTTGGTGGGTTACCTGCGCCAATGACCTCCTCGATCTTCACGCAGGAGACGTCGATCTCCTTGGCAAACTCGCGCACCGCCTCGTTGGGGTCCTCGTAGGTGAAGGGGTCAATGTAGACCTTCATTCCCGGCGTGACTATTGGGGATTCAGTGGCAAGAACAGGAACGTGAATCTATGCTATCAACTAAGTTCTGAAAACATATTTTTTATCAACTAAGACTAGATCAAAACAAGATCATTCATAATATGTTCTTTTTGTATGAGATGAACATAATTCATGTTATGTGAACTCTTCTTTAATGGTTGGGAATGCTCAGTCATTGTTGAAGCATAGGAATACTGCTATTGGAATGTGAATAATAGAAAAGGGAGCGGCATCTCAGCAAAGAGACTTACTGTACTGCTGCAGTTTCTCTGTGTACTCCGACTCTGAACCATTTCTCTGCTTTCTGTTGAGAAAGATGAAAACACAAACTGAGTCACGTGGACTCAACACAGCAGGGAGCAAATACTGGAAAGGAACAAAGGCATGAGGAGAAAGCAGATCCCTAATAATGTCTGCAGAGATGTAGCCACACTACGATGTGGCTTGGTGAAGATGTCTTGTGTATCTGCACTGAAAGCAAGGGATACACTGTAGATAAAGATTGAATCAATGTCTGGTGGTAAAATGATTCATACTTGGGGACTGTAACACAAGCCTAAACAAAAGGATATCATACCATTGTCTGAAGCAGCAAGTGAAAGCCATTCACTCTTGGTACCTCTAAAACGAACAGCCGAGACAAAAGCAGACTCAAACAGCAAGCTCAGCTGTCTCGTCTTCCTCGCCCTACAGACATCACACTGTTCATTTCAATTCAATCTGCCTCTTATTTTCGTCTCATGGACTCACTCTCTTGCTGTCATCCTCTTTCCTATTTTTTAAATCCATTTTTCTTCTTCTCTTTTTCTCTTATACCCATGTCTCCCAGTTTCTGTATCCTCATCTTCCTGCATGTGTCCCTTCTGCACCGGAGGGGGGGCACAAAGACGATGACAGAGCGAGGGGGCTGGGTTGTTGAAATTACATGTTAATGTGCTTCCTTTGTTGTCTAACCAGTAACCAGGGCAATAATACCCGATGGTGATTTGCATCTTATTTCAAATTCTAATTTGGTTCCGGAATATGCCGAAGCTCTGTGTTTTGTATTATTACTATTTTCCCCTTCTTCTTCTGTGGCAGTCAGAACAGTGGCTAAACCAAGACCCTGAGAGAGACACAATGTAGCGGTGTGAAAATAGAAGAGAACGAAGGGGCAGGAGGGAGAAGGAGAGGAGGGGGAGCCAGCCAGGGAGATTATTATTCAGTCTAGCGTGACCGATGCCCACGCTTGTCAGCCGCTGCCTGAACTGGCTTGTGGAGGGAACCCAGTGGGAGCCAGTCAGCGGTGGGTGCCAACCTTTCACACATATATACACACATGCACTGCATTTGCTGCTTGACAAATGAGAGGTATAAGGATAAACGAGTGTGGTTAGACCCAGTTGATTCAGTGTCAGACTTTCTGAAAGGTCGGAGCAGCCGTTCGCATCTTCCCAGTCAATTGGGCCTAGCAGACAGGGACACATCTGGGTTCTTTGTGGTCGGGCAACTGCACAGTTGATTCTGAGTGCCCGGCCATGAGGGCAGGCCTATCAGGCCCAACAGCTGCTCCACCATGCTGTGTCCAGTGAGCAAAGTAGCATTTTGGCGGAAGCTGTTTACTACTCAGAGATTCAGAAGGCTAATCTGGCATTCAGTGGCCTCACAGGTGGCACAGCAATCCGCTGAGACTGTTCTAGGGTGGTTTGGAGGACATGCAAACAAAGTTGACATTTGAAGCTATCTCAATTTTTTTCATCTTGAGGGAAAAATATTTTTCACAAATGTTTCTGTTAGTCCTCGCTGTTTGAATATATTCTGTAGGCCAGACACAAGTAACTGAGTCAGTGTAGAACTCTTTTGCCATTGCTACCAAAGTTGCTAATGCTCATCTTTCATGCGCTCTGACTTTGAGGATGATAGAGTTATGTTCTGACCTGAGGCAGACGATAGCGATGACCACAACTGCAATGATGAAGACCAAGGTGGCGGTGGCTGATCCCACGATGAGTGGCAGCTGCTCCTGCCATGACTTTGGAGGGTCGGCTTTAGATGTCAAAGAGAGAGAGTGGTTACTTGGAGAATTTGTCACAAACATACACCTACACTAGCTGCAATCCATGTGTATAGCTGAAGACTGTGCCACTCCGTGTGCTCTGTCTAAAGTCTGTCTATAAGCTTGTATGCCTCTCACGCCTACTTCAAAATTGTATGCTTACATGGGTAAAACCATGCCCTTGTGCTCTTCAGGCTGTATTAAACAGAGAGCAAACCTGCAAATGCATTTATGAAGGCTGCAAAATAAACTACTCAGTTATTTTACTTTTCTTCTTAATGATGAATATGATGTAGAGCAAGAATGAGGCTGATAACCTGACTAATGCTAAGAAATGGTAGATTTTCACCAAAACTTTAAAGTAAATTTTTCTACAAGGATTTCTCTTCCTCTTGCATGAAAAATAGGCATAGTAACTTCAAGCTCAATAAGCTTTTGAGCCTCCATTATGTTCAGAAGCTTATGCATAGTACTATCATAGAGGTATTGCTGGTAAGCCACAAATATCCCAATATATCCCTGGGTAATGAAGTAGGTATGGGAGTAACATACTTTGCAGGTTGGTGCTGAAGTCGGCTGGGCTGCTGTAACGGCCGTAACCGGCCACTGTTCGGGCACGGACCTGTACCACATAAGGCGTACCAGGCTTTAGACCTTCAATGCGGGCATTGCTCCGTTGGGCAGTCATAGTATGGGCGATGGCCTCACCCTGATCCTGCAGAAACAAAGACAGTCTGAGATGAAAATGCCAAATAGCAGCCCCCTGTGCAGTCCCATTCATCATCATCCCCACTTTAATGCTCTTCCCTCCCTGACATGGCTGACCAATCTAACCATGCAAGCGGGTGAAAAAAATATGAAGACAAGATCGAGGGAGAAAAATAGAGAGAAACAGATTGTAGCTGGTGTGTTAATCCTATGGGAGAAGGACAAGACAACAAACAGAGCAGATATACATGGAATGTCTTTGTCTCTCCCTGAGGCAAATCCAGTCACAACTCCCTGGGCCCCTGGAAAATACAGAAACGTTCTAATGCATGGGTTGAGAGAGGATGGGGCATAAGAGGGAGGGCAAGAGGGAGAGATGGAATTAGGGGTACAGAAAAGGGCAGAGCACAATAGAAATATGGGAAAGGATTGGGAGGAGAGAAAGTGAGAAAAAGGAAGGATGGATAGAGGAATGGATAGAGGGGAATAAGTAGGGAAGGATGATCATACAAGCTAAGATTGGAAATAGTGAATTGCCTCACTGCAACCATGTGTTTATCAGCAGAGGCATTGTTTTCCACATTTACAGAAACACAGATGAAACCGAAACCATGCAAGTCAATGAAATTGGATTGAATTAGAGGCGTTGACTTACATTGCTGCTTACCTTCTCATGGTACTTAATCTCATAATCCAGAATGATTCCGTTGGGTTTCTCTGGAGGCAGCCAGGACAGACTCATGGTGCTCGCTGTGGCCGCCATCAGGTGAACTGTGGGCACTGCAGACGGAGCTACACAAGGCAAAACAAATAAAGAAAAATCTGCTTTATTTATCGTTTTATGTGTTATGTCTTTTCAAGTTCTATGCCCTTTGTGTGTCCACAGAAGCCCAAATACAAAGTCTTAGGCTGTGGGCTTTGTGAAAAGCTTTGGCCAATAGTTAGTATGCAGAACCATTCTCCACTAATGCTCAGATTCTCCCTCCCAGAGTCCTTGGGGAGGGAGAGGGGATGTCTAATTCTACTGTGACAAGAGAGTCAAACCGCAAAACTGATGGATACATCTCTGGTACATGCAGTTCCCTCTACCATACAGCAAATGTCGGCAAGTTTAACAAGCACCCACATACAGCAATTTTAACTGCATGCTTCCTGAACTACTGCTGCCCTTTTGCTCTGTACTTTAGAGGAAGTGTTAGGGAACAGTCCTGTTTTCCTCTGTTGGTAGCCTTCTACGTTATAAGAAAGTATCTACTGCTACTACACAAGCCAATGTGTACACACTATATAGACTACATCACTTATATAATGTGTACACAAATACACAAATGTGTGTAATGGTTTATGAACACACACTCACAGAAGAGCATAAAACACAATGGCACTCCACCCACCTGAGCTTTTCATGCTTTGTTCACATGTGCCTATTAATGGCCAAGTGCTGTCTGCCTCCCTGTCTCGCTTTCCTCTTTTTCTAAGTTCAGGCTTGTTCTGTACCTCTGACTCATTCCCTCCTCCCAGTCTACTCCATCGCTTTTGTTTCATAACTTCAACTATCTATCTCCAGTGGTACCTTCTCATCAAACATAAAGTTGCTCACTTTTTCCTATACTCACACAATCATCTTTAATTTTCCCTGTCCTCTTCAGCTCTTCACTTTTTATCTTCCTTTTTACCACTGCAGACCTCCATCTCCGCTCTGTCTCATTCTCACTGCCTTCCTTCAAGCATTTTAATCCCCAGTTTTTAGTTCTTTGATCCTCCCCCTTGCATTTCCTTTCTCCCTTTGCTGCCTGTGTTTGTGGCCAGATATCCTTCTGTTTCTCTCTCTCTCTCTTTGCCCCCCAAACCTTCCCTTCCCTGCCTCTTTCCCTCCCATGCCAGCCCCTTCCACACAGGCCCTCCACGTCTCTCTTTCTCCCCAGAAGACAATGCTTCCTAGACAGATCCCCTGGTTACTCTAGCCAGGGGATTAGGGGCCCTCCTCCAAGAGAAGACGTTGCAGTAACCATGGAGGTGGCCTCTGGGGCTTATCACCGCCCTAGTATTTATTTTGGTTCTTAAAAGGTGAATGCACATGCAGAGATGGTCTTGGGACTACACCAGGGGATAATCTGATCACAGCTCTCTTGCCCCTCCTTTCCCTTCACCTCTCTCTCTGCACTCAACTGACCCCAATCACCCAAGGGTGGACAGTGGTCCCTGTCAGCCCAATACCAGACTCCTCATAAAACAATAAAGCCCTCACTTGGGGCCCTGTATGCCCTCTGGATCCTAGACCCACAAACGGAAGGCGTTCCTAAAGCTTTTAGGAGCAGGAACACAAGGTTAGAGGTGAGGCAAAGGAGAAAAGGAGAGAGATGATGGGGAAAGGAGCTAGGGATAATCCTAAGCCTGCAGAAATAGCAAAGTTAACATAGCAACTAAACACATCCAAGGCACAACTTAAGAGCCCTGGGAGAACCTCAACAAAAAAACCAACTCACAAGAACAAAAGTGTATAGTGATCTCAACAGCACTAAAATTTTGAGGGCATATAAGATAAACTAAACAAACCACATTTCTTCAGAAATTGAAAATAATAATCTATCCATTCAGCCATTTACCAATCCACATACATATCTACCTATTTTAATCCATTTAATTCACATCATATATCTTAGTATCATAAGGAACACATGCAATAGCTTATAATTATTACTCTAAGTTATTGTGTTCAGCTGGGTTCAATCTTCTGAACCCAAATTGAATCTCAGCACTGATTGCTATATTGGCCCAGTTACTGTTGTTGCTGTGAGCTGGAGGAGCGGTGGGTTGGAAGCAGTGGGCAGATAGAATACTGAAGGTTCAACACTTTGAATACACACTGCCTCGCTATTGCTATTTGCAGCGGTGTTAGTACAGAGCATGCTGTGGGCGTGTGAAAAAGGTCCCTTTCTAAGCTCATTCAGAAGAATGTCTTCCTTCTCAATCCCTATTCAAAGGGAAAATATGTAACATACTCCTACATGCATACAAGAAATTGATCTCTACTTCTTAGACAGAATGTATTCTCTGACATTCTTTTGTATTTTGAAAGTTGGCAGCACCTACAAGTTCAGTATTGATCTTTGACAGGTAGCCACGAGGCTGCAGCTGTACCTACCAGCCTGATTTGTGGTGATGTTCACTGTAGAAAACTGAGGGGTATAGGGGCTCTTGTTGGAAACCCCATTGACCGCCTGGATCTCAAAGCTATACTGTGTGTGGGCTTGTAGGTTACGGACGGCCACGCGGCGCTGGGTCAGGCCAAGGTGGCGTGGCGAGATGTCAACATTGTCGTCACACCGTGAGCACATTCCCCGCTCCGGCAAGCACTTCTTACAGATGACGTTGTAGAAGATGTCGTCACGGCCACCCAAGTCACGTGGGTCGCTCCATTCCAGCACTAGCGAGGTTTCATTCACACTGGAGATGACATTGCGTGGTGCAGAAGGTACAGCTGCGAAAGGGAGGTAAAGCGTGGATGAGTTGAGGAAAATAGGTTTAGAATGAAAATGAATTTAATCTCCATGCACAATAGGTGTAAAGAAATTTGCCTTGGTGACACTACAGAGATATACTGACAATAGACAGAGATTTATATTGCAAAACGCAGTTTACATATCATTATACACACAAACATTCATTATTCCACAGCTGCACAATTCATGACCTAAGAATTTTCCTTTTGCTGTGGTATTGGTACATTTTTTATGCATTAACTAGAACATTTGTTTCTTCCACATAACAAGAGACTGTTCCAGCAGTTTTTCAGAAAAAAGAAGACAGGAGTTCAAATTTGAATTGCATGCTCATTTCCACTGTGTGTCTGTGTGTGCAAAGTGCTGGGGGGGACGAGCGAGACAAACTATTGGCAGAGCCTTGGCAATTCTTATCCAATTACTGGAGCCTTATCTCTCACTGCACTGTAGGAGAATCAGCCCCCCACCCCAGCAACAGAAAAAAGGATCTTCCTCTCTCTTCAATAGTGAATGAATTAGCTCCTACGTGTGCTTGTTTGCGAACGAAGGCACTGTTACTAGAAAGATTCCTCCACTGTCTGTCTGTAAAAGGGTGTCAGAATTGAGAACAGGAGACGCGGGCGGGGGAGGGGTTGGAAGATAAAGTTTTGTATAATGTTGGGAACAAGGAGACTTGTTTGCCATCCATGTGGCATGGTGGGAACACACTGCTTTCAGCCACAATTCAAAGAGGGACGTTTGGGAGAACCCTACCATAAAGACTTTTGGTTTATGGCTTCCAATACATTTGATTACTGTCTGAATATGAGGCATAAACACATTTTGGGAACAAAAACATGCAGAAGTTGTCTGGTTTTCAAAAGGATTGCAACAACAGCATTTCTCATTTAGTCAGTTGAAAGCAGTCTTTACTTACTGGTGCAGGGGGAGTCAGGAGAATCGGTGTCTGAGCGGTAGTAACCGTTTCGGCAGGAGCAGACACTGGATGCTCCTGAGGTGGCACGGCTGTTTTCTGGACAGGGCAGGCATAAGCTGTCTCCCTGTTTGGACTTGAAGGTGCCAGGGCTGCAAGCTGATAGGAAAAGATAGAAAAATGGAGAAAGTGTGAATAATAAGTTTAGATATTGACACTGAATGGAAGGGTTTAGAAAGTAACCATGGATCACTTGAAGGAATATATAACAATTTTAAGGTAAAACTATTTTTACTAAATTAATTTACAATTTACAGTTATGTGAGTCACATTTTCCAAATGGGCAATTTTTCCACTTTCTCTGGAACGAAAATACAAAATGTTACTTTTTCTAATCCCTAGCTTTAGCACGTGTTGACAACAGGATGTAATGTCTTAAGTAGTGGTTCATTTTATGGTCACATTGCTTGCATTGGAAACACTGTTCCAGCTCACTGGTAGACATGATTAAAATGTCTTATTTGATGTGTTTAGCATGTGTTTGTTTATGTACATATGTGCATGTGCACATGATTTGGTTTTGTCCCTTCAACCCCACATGTTCCCATTTCCCTCACTTATGGAGAGTGCATTTTCGACAACAGTGGAAAGGGAGAGGGGTTTATGAGCAGCATATAGCTGTTTGCATAAAGCCACGCTCACACGAAGAGACTGTCAACCCAAATTACATACACAACCCTCAGAGCTAAAACGCTGGCATGTTGCTTTCATCTGAATTCAGTCTTTTATGAAATACATATAAACATACACACATAAAATCAGAGAGGCACACATAATATGCTGATGTGTACACAAACATGGGCCTGTGAAAAAACTGTGCAAAGATACATGTCTGTACACAAACACACACACACACAAACAAACAAACAAACACACACAATATCCTGCCCTCAAGTCACTTCAGTGTACTCTATACAAAAAGGCTTTTCTCAAAAAGTATGTCTGCATCTTTCTGTCTTTAAGGTCATTTCCTGTACAGACCAATACAAAACTACCTTCAGCATAGTTTTACCTAAACTGGTAGTTGATCAGTGAAGCCTAGTTAATCAGATGAAAACACTGCTAGCCTTTGTATTTGCCCTGTCTCCATTTATAGCAGCTGTTTGGACGTTTATAACTCAGGTGATAAGTTGCAGACATACAGGGAAACACTGACAGCGGCACTGTGTCCAGAACACTTTGGCAGGCTCCATATCTTTGATAAACTGTCTTGTTAAAAGATGAATGAGTTTGCCGCAGTGCTTAATAAAAAAGACGAGAGCAGGTAAGACAGCCAAAGTTTACAGGGGCCAGTTGATTAGCTGACCCACTAGTGCGTTAGCTCGTCAATGTCAAGGACACAGTGCTATGTTTGTCCCTCTGAATGATAATTATCACCATAGCTCCTGTGTTTGTTTTTTTGCTCAGTGCTGAAAACAACCAAGGTTGGAGGTCAAATCTACAGCGGACCACTTCCTGCTCCTGCTGTTTTCCCCGTTTTTGAAAGTTCAATATTAGCACAAAACCACCAGTTGACTGCACCGTGTACATTAGCACTGAGTGTATTTGTTCTTGCACCATTAATCAGAGTCATCCACACCACTGGCTAACAGGAAGTACTGCTTGATATACAGATAAGAAACGACCTAGAGTTTTACCAGGTGGGACTTGCTACCATGACCCAAGTTAATTTAAGTTCATGCAACACAAAGTAAACCATAAGCAATTTCTCGCAGGGTTTGAATATTGGTTTTTGTACATGTTAGCCTAACAGAAGATGTTGAGGGAGCACTCCCATTAGAAGAGGCTTTTTTTTTAAAGGGAAAGACTGAAAGTGCTGATCAATCATTTCCAGTAAGTAAAGGGGTCATCCTCTTCCTTTCATCCATTTTCCCCTTAGAGAAACCACTAAAGAATGAGGAAGAAAGAGAGACATGGGGGCTAGAGAAAAATGGAGGGAGAGGTGGAAGAGGTGGAAACATAGAAAATGCTAATCCTGCAGGCGCTCCCCCCCCCCCTTCCCCACTCCCCTGTGTCTTATCCTCTCATGCAGAACATAGAGCTTAAGGAACTGATTAGAATGTATGCTGAAATTGGAAAGTGTGGAGCATGAAGAAAAAAAGTAAAGAATATTGGTGGTGAAAAATGTGCAGTAAATGAGTGGAAAGACAAAAAAAAAGGATCATCGATTAATATTAAAGCAGACATCCTTACTGTAACACTAAAGGGGTATTAATGAGACCAATGGCCTTCAGCTTAGGAAGGAATGGGGGGAGGTACAGACTAGTACAGAGAAAGGCAGCTGTAGGAGATACTGCATGTTGGGACGAGGACACAAAAGCAGAGAACGGAAGAGTCACTGTAAATAGATGATGAGAAATGAGTAAGGAGTAAAATAGTGGGAGAATTGAGAAAAGGAGAGTGGACCTCAGGAGAAGAGAGATTTATCCCTTGTAGTTTTCAGTGAAGCTTGATTAGAGAACATTTTATCAGGGCCCAGTCGCCAGGGCTTTAACCTTGGGCTGCCAGGAACAAACAAATGAGTTTTTAACCACACACACCATGCTTCAGATTTACTATGTTCTCTCTCTCTATCACACATACAAACACACTCTCCTTCTAAAGGTGAGCACAGATTCAATATTTAGGGTCCGCCAGAAGCTGCCAGTGTAAAGTAGCCACCCACTCTGCCTGATAACCTGTATGGGTGCTGAACTAAATGTCCTCTCAGTCTCATCTCTCTCTGCTATGAGAAAAGGAATGAACCCTCTCAACCTAGTCAGCCAGGCAAGGATGACATGCAAACCATACAGTACATAAACTGTTTATGCAAAGACACCTTAAACTCAACCCCGCTGATCAATAACCCTACCAGCTCCCCTCCCTCTGTCTCTCTTTCTCGCATTCTGCTTTCTCCATTTGACCTAAGTCTAATTTTACGCCCCCATACCCCTCAACACATGCACATTTTCCATTTATCCTTCGCTCTCCTCCTGCCATCACCTGCACTCAATTTTAGCCAAGACATGGCTGTTTAAATTCACCTTGCTCTCAACCTCTTTGAACCTGTCATGTTTTCCATCAGACCTGAAACCATCATAGGGCCTCCCAGCTCTCAGAAATAGACAGCCTCTCCTGCATTTCCATTTATTTAGCAACCAGCTGCCAGGCAAAACTGAGGTCAGAGAAGTGAACAGCCGGTTGCTGACAGTGTCATTGAGTGTGTATTATTCTACCCAATTGTCATTGGATTGATGTGTCAAAGAATACAGGGTAAATAAATGGCTCATAATAATGTGGCAGCCGGACAATCTAGTGATTGAGGCTGTAACCTGTAGCTGAAACAATACCAATTCAATCTCTCCAACAATCAGTGTGTCCACATATATCGAGATGAAGTGTCCTTCAGCAAGACTTTGACCCCTTACTACTCACTCATTGTAATTCACTCTGCGTAGAACCATCAGATACTATGTGGCTAAAATGTAAATGTAACTTTTCTCAGCAGCAATAATGTGATACATTATTGATTGCCACAGGGAAATCCCTCCAAACCCACCACCATCTTCCAGTACTGCAAGACTATGGAATAAGCTACAAAATAGCACAGTTCTCTGTCGGTTTTTAAAAAATTCAATTACTTGCCCTTGGTGAATTCAGTAGCTGGCATAGGGCCTTATGTACCCTGTTGAATTATGTCTCCCTAGCCTCTAGATTAATCCACCGTCACAACCACTGAGTAATAAAATCCTGGACCTACCTAGAATATCTATTGTGAAAACACTCACCTTGACATTGGGTATCCTTCATGGCTGGTTCAAAACCAGAAGAGCATGTGCAGGCCCCTACAGGGACCATCCACTCGCCATCTCCATTACAATAAAGCTTCAGTGGCACGGACACCTCCAGGGCATTGGGGACACAAGTTCCTGGTGCAATGACCAAGGACGTTGCCTCAGCCCCAGTTGCTGTCTCTGGGAAAACGGCAAAGTTGGCAATGGTTGTGGAGCACTTCTTGTAAAAGACTCTAACTGAGATGAGTGACATGCAAGCACCAAGGTCCTGAAAGGCCAAGTAGAACCCAGCTTTGGATAATGGCCCAAAACTTCGAACTTTTGTGTTTACACGTCCAGACTCAAGCATGGAAAAGCTCTCATCTGGGGCAATCGTGTCCACCTTCACATAAGGGTTTTCCATCCAGAAAGGGCTGGTGGCTGTGGCCGAGTCTGAGTCAGACTCATAGTAGAAGAGGTTGAAGGTCTCTTTGCAGGAGCCTGGGATGTTAGGAATGCTGTTGCAATCACGCACTGTGAATTTCATCTCTACATATACACGCAGCACATCCTTTCGTGGAATGAAGTCACTGCGTAGCCAGTTATTCTGGTTGAGCTCACGTACATTGCAGACTTGGTACGTCCGGATGGGATTCATGGCATCATCGTAGCCACTCACCTCTTCCCACTGAAAAGTAAGTAAAAGAAAAACATAAACAGGTTAGAGACTGTAAATGTTATAAAACATATTGCCTCTGAATTCGGCAATGTACATTCACCCATCTCCATACACCTTGCTATATTTACTTTGCACTTTGCATGATAGAGAAAGAATGAAAGAAAAAGGGCAGAGGTTAAGACCAAGAAAGAAAAAAGCAATGTTTTTTTTGTTGCTTTTTGGGTAACTTCAATTGCATTCTCTTGCCTTTGCCATGCTACGCCTTTCATCTCTGGTTAGTGTAGCGAAAAGCCAGGGACAAGGACTGCAAATTCATCACAATTACAGCAACCTGTCACCTCCTCACCACAGAGTCAGCACAGCATGTTTACCTCATATCTGTTTGGAAGTAGCAGCCACATTGCTTCACAACCAATTACGCTTCAATTACAGAGCAATGATCGCAACGTCCTCTAATAAAGGCAGGGAAAAGGCGCTGGTTAACCTTCATGCTTTTCTGTTTTTACAGTCCTCTACATCTTTCAATGCTACTACAGTACCCAGGGGGTGAATTACTCTGGATAAAATGGGATTAAATTTTCTAAACTTTGATTACCAGCTTCATTAAATGAGCGCAAGCAAACTAGACTGTAAAAGCTTTGCTGTGAGACACTGTAATCTAATGCATTTTTCAATCTCGAATGAGGACACCACGATTAAATCATTTCACTTCAAATAGCGATTCCTGTGTGTATAATATATCTTTGTGCGTGTGTGCTGAGGGATCTGCTCTCCTTTCCTATCAGACAAACAGAGTGCATTTATGTTTTAGCTAAGCCAAGGCCTGGCAAGTTTATTTGCCTAGCACCTAGTGCTTTGCATGAGGCATGGCAATGTATTAAAGTATTCAAAGACGAAAATATGAAGATAAAAATAAGATAAGATAAAATAAATAAAAAATGATAAGAGAAAAAGTAATAAACGTTTGTACTACTTTACATGGCTGTCTTTGGACTTGCTATCTAAATCCATGAGATTGAACCTGTGACCTTCTGATTACAGGATGGTCTTTCAAATCACTCACTCCCCTTGCCACTTTAAATGCCAAGATACATCTATAACAAAATTAAATGGTTGCTCTCTCGGGACCGAGGTTTGCCGCGGAACATTTGACTGTCTCGAAACTCTGGCATAAAGGCACCAATTTGTTCTCCAGAGCCAGTTGTTTCCATCTGAGCTCTGAGCATCTTAATTAAGGCTGTGATATGGATGTGGTGTAGACAAGGCTATTCATCCAAGACCCTGGAGGCCATGAGCGAGAGAGGGAGAATGGGCGTAGCTCGGCCATGGCATTAAAACGATGGCCCGACGAGAGCGAGAGAGAAGGAAGCGACCAGAGGGAATCGATAATCACCAGCCAGGTCAATGAGATGGCTAAAAGCATGAAGTGTCAATGGGTATTTAGTTTGGTGTAATAAATCACCCACTGCAAAAGTGCAATACAGCCAAGTGTTTGTGGGTGTGTGTGTATGAGGTTGTGTGTGTTTGTTTAAATGTGCTTGTGTGAGTTTGTCTCTGCCTGAATGTGTTCTTTCTCTGTGTGTTTGTTTGAGTGTATGTATGTGTAGGTGTGTGCTGTTTGTGTAAGTGTGTGTTTAAAGAGAGGTCATCCCCCCAAGACACGCACCAGTGGCCAAACACTCTGAGCGCCTGCTTACCAAGCCTGAATGAATTAAGTAGGTCATGTGAAAAAGGGTCAAGTTTCTTGGCATCGATTTCAAACAAGATGAATCGTTATGCAAGATTTGCGATGCACTCCATTTTCGTTTTGTCCCTTCTAATCAAAGCTTTAAATTTCACTTTCAGATGACAATGAACGACGTGATGCACTATTTCCCTCCTTGGAGGTCCAAAGCCCAGCTGGAAAAATATATTTTGCTATATTTTGGAAAAACTATGATTAATCGGAACAACAGAAATGAATAGAGTATAAAGAACAGGTTGTGCTGTACTTTAAGACTTTTTATTGAGTCTCCTGCAACAAGTTAGATTAACTAGCACTAGCTGAAATTCTGTAACAAACTCAGCGCTAACAATTAGAGTGCTTTTATATTTCTGTTTGTTGTTGGTATGAATAAGCTCTCCAGGGCTAATTTAAAGGACATTTTAGCTTGTTCATAACATGTTTTAGCATGCTGGGCGCCTGTGAAGCAGACAGTGATACACTAACAATAGTTATTACATCTACAAGCTGACTAACTTATATTGTTATCAGTGTATGTTTATGGAAAACCCTGTGGGTGTCATTTTAGGTCTGAGGGGAGCCCTGCTATAAAGTGGAATTTCCCTTCCATCGGCCATCTGTTTTGGAAGACAAATGATACGATAAGCTATATATGGACAAAGACACACAATACTGGGAAAATTAGAAATTCAAGCAACACAGTGCAGCTTGAGATAGGTGTTGATGTGCACACACACACACAGCAACACAAACATGCATGATGCCCAAAGATGGTACAGGCTATACAGATAGATGCAGACAATGAGACTGAGAAATCCACATACCAAAGTACAGACACAAAGGTGAAAGCATGGTATACATGTACATACATGCCCGTACATAATGTAGTATGTGAGTGCGTAGTGTGTGCTTTTACAGAAACACATTCACAAATGGCGTTCACACTTAGCTTTTACACAAAGAGTGGTGGCATTAATAGTAGCACCTATATGCCGGTTGTCTCTGGTTTCACTGTCACCAACAGACACAGCTTATGTTCCCTCTGTGTATCTTTATATCTGTTGCTTTATCTGTATGTGTTGTGCAACACTCTGAAACAAGACAGAGATGCTGTGACTCAGACTTGGCTGGGCAGCATCCCTTGGAGAGAGTGTGTAGTCTGTTTGTGAGTGAGTCTATCTAAGATTTTTTCTTAGAAATTGATTTTCCTTTTCTCTTATATGCTGTCTCCTACTCTCTGTATGGACATTTCTTTGGATTTTACTTAATCTCAGTCCCACCGCTCTCCCCCTCCCTTCTAGCTCTCTCCGTATGTTGTTTTGTTTGTCCTTTCAGTCACTGTATCGGTTCCTCTTAAGTACTCGTCGTCACCCCTAACAAAAACAAGCTGCGAAGTTCCCGCTGCAAGATCACAAAAGCTTACACATAAAAACGCATACAATACATTGTGCATAAAGACGAACAAGAGGGGGGGCTGATTTTCTTGAGTGAGAGAAAAATAAAAGCAGGGTACATATAAAGGGTGGGAAGATAACACATGGACAACCACTGTCTGGGGCACATTTTCTGCTAAAAACAAAAAAAAAAGGCGATGGAGAAACTCATCTCCAGTCTTTCAGTTGGTAATGTGGGAAATCTGGAGTGCAAAAGGCTCTCCACTGTATCTATATGTTTTGAAAAGGAGCATCTGTTGCCGGATTGCTTGGAAAAGAAACGGGGAGGCGTTTTTTTCCGTCCCATGCCATTCCGCATGGGACTGATGGGAGCATTGCTGCTGCATTGTAGCTTAATGAGGAGGAGGGGGGTAGAGGGAGGCAAAGGAAGATGGACGAATGGGAGGAGGGAAGGAAGGCACAAACGGCTGTGAGGGGGTTTGTCCAACTGATTGTTGCAGCTGAGGTGGCTAGTGTGTCTAGCTTCATTAGTGCTTAGTTACTTGGAAGTAAAGGAAGGGGAGAATACGGAGGGCGGGCGACTTCCAACAGCTGGGTGGAATCTTGCTGCAAAAGCGTTGGGGTAAAAACAAAATGTAAAAAATGGGGGCCCACCTTTCAAAACACAAGGGCCAAGTCAGAGGGCCACACAAAGGCGAGGGGAGGAGTGCTAGGAGTCTTTGAAGTATAGCTGAGGAGGGGTCAAGACTCTTTTTGCTCCTCTTTAGGCCATTGTAGAGACCACATGGGAAAGCAAGATGAGGCTGTCAGTGGCACTTTGTGTGTGGTAGATTTGGATGCCCGGGTGTGCAATGGGTCAACGGCAAGAAATATTTCAGTGTTTAAAGGGTTATTTCATGAGGAAACTGGTGTTTTTCACACGTTTTAAGTGCAGTGAGGCAAGGCAAAGGGAACATCTGTGCGGGTCAGTGAAATTGGATTGCAGTTTATCTTTTTCTGCATGCTAAAAAGTACATCCTGTTGAATCCTAAAACATATCCTGTAGAGTGATTTGCTGATGAAGGGCAAGACCTCTAAGTGGCATGCAGAAACAATCAGTCAAAGTTACTGTCCAGATATGAACATGTGTATAAAATAACACTTAAATTACAAAGAATAATCCAACGCCAGTTATGTTGGGGTACACAGTTATCTCTTCTCTTTCACCATATGTGTCTTTGTTAAAAAAAAAATCAGTCTTACTCTACACACGCACACACAAAGGCACACACTCTCAGTAAACTCACCCCGGTCTCAGGGTGTGCAGTCCAGGCTAATTCTGTCGTGGCCCACTTCGTGTCCATCAGTGTCTCTGAAAACGGAAGCAGAAAGAAAACAACCAGGTCAGGAAAAGAGGAACACAGCGACAGAGGAGATCAATAGAAAAACAATGTCATAAAACGTGTCGGGCGGAAGACATAAGATGCATTGACCAAAGTTGTTCTCAGATAACTGGCTGAATAATAACTGGGTGACAAAAAGCCGGGCTAAGAGTGATTAGATTCAATTATACAAAGAAGTACTGTATGCATGTGACAGGAAGACCAAGAGACAGCGGGAGAGTGAGACAGAGATGAAGGTGGTTGATCTGTGAGGTATTATGTCACATTTTATTGCAGCTCCTTGTCTGGCTAATTAGTCTCAATTAGACGTTTGCTTTTATACAGGGGAAAGGAAACAACAGTGACTCTTACTGAGAAATGGTTCCGCTTCCCACAGGGCACTGCGAGACACACACACATACACACTTGATAACACACACACACACATGGAGTAAGTAACAGGCTGTAAAACTCCACAAGATATATAACCCGACAGAACAGAAGGCTTGAATGGAGAGGGGGAGTTATAAAGTTAGGTGTCACAAAAGAGGAGCTCTTGAGCGGAACAGAGGTCAATACACTTCAATTGGATTTACTTTTTGTCAATACTTCAAGTTTACCTTACTTTCACGCCAGTCTCTCGGCACACACATCATATACACACACGCACAAAATGGAGTCTTCTGCAAAACCCCTTTCTCCTCACCATTTTCCACTCTCTTGTTTCTGCTGGCAATGGCGCCGGCTTTGTGAGAGCGGGGAAGGGAGACTATAAATGTTGAATCTTTTACTACCTGGCGCTCAGGGCGCAGTATGCAGCTACCGTTATTATCTCAACCACTGTGCTGTTCTACAAGATAGTAAAAGATGATGAAACAGCACTGCCAGAAAGTGAGCTTGCACTGTCGCTGGTCATGGAAAGAAGTGTGAGATGTTCCAGTTTTTCAGCCTCAGTTGCAGGGGATGAACCTGAAGATGTCTCTCAACTCGCTTTTGCTACTCTGCCACCATCTCTGAAGTTTTCACTGCCACTGTCTACCTCTTTCATCTTAGAAAAAAAAAAACGCCTGGTAAGCTGACAGGAAACGGGACTTGGGAGAAAAATAAAAGAGTAAAGCCCAGGATTTCAACATCCCTTCTCCAAATACCTGCTGCCACCACTGCTGCATTCAGGAGCACCAGCCTTGACAAACGAAAACACTTTCGAACTCAAAGACCCCTTGCGAATTATGTCTAGCTCTGTAGAGATGGCATGCTCCTACAGCTGGGAATTCCCATTGAATTCCACCCCCTCATGCTCGGAGTGACACACTCTCTGACATGTGTATATTCCTATTACACTGGTGAGAAAACATGACTTCCAAGAGAGTTCCTGCCAAAGGGAGATATACCCCACTTGCAAAAAACACGTACAGTCAGATTTCAAATGTGGCTTTGGCTTGTTTCCCTCAGGCGAAATGGTCTGGAAGCTTCACTGTGAGCCAGTTTACGCAGTGAGAAATGTCTCTCTGGGAGTGGCTCTGGGAGCTGGAGTGAATATCATCTACTCACAGCAGCATGGGGCCAAATCCAGCTTGCAACCTTTGTCACAAACACTCCTTTCTCTTCCTCTCCTACCAGTCTCCAATATTCTCTCTGCGCTGTTAGTGGAAATGCTTTAAAATAATTCACGGATGCAGTCTGCTTTTGCCGAGAGCTCTTTTTGTAACCAGACGAAATGAGCCACATTTGTCACTTGAGCAAATAAGGGCCTACTAGTGTTGTCATCAGAAACTGTGTCAGTGCATATTGGCTGTGGGACTTCCCCCTGATTCATACCTTGACATTGTGTGCTACGCAGGTAGGTAAGCCGGTGTGGTGGAAATGATACACCTCCACTGCCTGGTGTTTATTGTTATGACTGAGTCGTGTGTACTTGTGTGTGTGTGGCTTGTCATTAGAGCTGACCTTGCTGAAAATGACAACACGGTGAAACACAATGACAGACCAGGAGAGTAAAAGAGGTGAGAGGAAGGGAAGATAGAGATGAGAGAGAAAGAACGAGAACCAGATAGCAAAAAGAGAGATATGCAAAACACACACACACACACACACAGCTGTGCAGTCTGACTCAGTGGTTTAGACAGTGGGTCATTCGGGAGTGCATGTGCAGCAACCCTTCCCTTCTCGATGTATCTGCATTGTTTAACCTCTGTGTGTGTTTGTGTGTGTGCGTATGAATGTATGCATGTCTGCGTGGGAAGGTAATTGTATGAGTTTGTGTATTTGGTGCAAAGCCCTGCATTGTGCCCAAAGTGGAGCACCAATCCTGAGTCAATGGGCCAGAGCAAAAGCACCAGATGACCCCGACCTAACCCAGCTGCTCCCTTTCTTTTAGTGTGTGTGTGTGTGCATGGTGCGTGTATGTGCATGCGGTTGACTGTTATGCTCATTTGTCTCTGCAGACCATGTTTATGTGTGTGTGTGGTGTGTGAGTGTGTGTGTGTGTGGTGTGTGTGTGTGTGAAAAACACACCAGGCCAGTAGAAGCAAACTGCAATATTCATGACCGTACAGAAAATTCAGACACCTGCGCAGTCACCGAAAATACACACGTACACACACACACAGGAAACAAAAGAAACCAGAAAATAAAGTGGTATATGCCCACGCACAAAGCAACTGCTTTCGTTGGGTAAAACCGACAAACTTGATGATAAAGGATGAGAGAGAAAGACAGATTAAAGAGAGATAGGTATTTTTTAAAACAACAACCTCTGAAAGCTTCTAAGACCATTCTGGCAGCTTGCCTAATGGGCCCGGCTGAGAATGAGAAGAAAAAAAAAATAGGCGGAAAAGAAAACCAGAAGGACAAGTTGAGGGAGAAATAACCACAGTGTGAGTATAAGACCCTCCACAAACCCTCTTGTTTGCCTTTTAGCTCCACATGTTTAACTTTAACTTCAAATCCTGGTAGGGTGAAATCAGAAAAAGATCGTAGGTTGCAGGGTGAAGAAAGAGCAAATCAGGCAAATGAACATGCAAATGTACTGCCATAAAACACACACAGAGTGAGAGCGAAGCATGCAGAGGTGGGAGGTAACACTGGATCAGGATACAAAGATGCACAAGGCTGTTTAATCCGTCTTCCTCGCATGCACTCTCACTTTTTCTCTCATTCATTTTCGACGTCTTTTTCATCATCCCAGTGAAATGATGGATCTAATTCCCCATTGCTTCCCAATCTCCATCTCTTTTTCTTCATCTACCCCCCTTTTATCACACACTCTCTAACTATTTTCTCTCTCTCTCTTGCGTCCACTGGGAAGTGATAGGTTTGACCTCTTTTCCCTTGTCTTTTTGCTCTTTCTCCTTCCCTCCTCTTTTTCTTGCCGATCTCTGTATCTGTGCTTATGTTTTTTCACGCTGTGCTGTGATGGATGTGACATGTGGCGTACAGGGGAATATTTTTCAACCTCCTACTGCTTACAAAGACTTTTCAATTAACGAGTCGCTGTTTGACTAACCTGAGGATTGTTTTAGTAAGGTGTTATTTATGACAGAGGTCAAATGCACCCGGGATTTGCGCTGGGGGAAAAATGGCAGTGACATTTGTTTTCTCCGCGACCTCTGATTGTGTGAGAAAACTTCCAGAAATTACAAACAGGCTTGGAGAGATTATATACAGGCAAATATAAGCATACACACACATACACACACACACACACACACACAGGCAAAGCCAACCCCTGCACTCTAATCCCGTAATGACAGGGCAGGTCTAATAACAGGGGAGGGCACTGAAGCATTCGTCCCTATGGCCGCATCCAACACACACTCTCTCACACGCACACACACACAAGCACAGCCAGAGTAACAAGCCTCTTAAAATATTTCTTTGTTCAAACAAGCAGACTTCTTAAAAGAAAAGAAAAGAGAGGAGGACAGAAAGAAGAGAAGGGGAAGAAAGGCTATTATTGAGAGAAAGGAATGTGTAGTCATTTTCACAGGGCTAAGTCCCCGGGACGCAAGGAGCAGACAGGTGAGGGATTTAGCTTGGATCTAGCCGCGAATGCTTTTGAGCTTTTTAGCATGCTCGTCTTTGTTAGCGTGACCCCATCAGATGACAACTGAAAGATACCTGAACCAAACCCTGGGGGAGCTAAAATATGTCTGGACAACCTTGGAGATATGGGTGTTTGCGACATTTGAAATGTTAACTAAAAGCCTTTTGTTGACGTAATAGCTTCCTGTTACCTTGATTTCCTGGTATAAGTACAAAAGAAAATGGCTTCTCCTCATGCCACTACTTGCAACTGCCGTATTATTGGAACATGATGACAGCAGGATTTAAAAAAAAAAGTAATATATATATATTATTTTTTTTTTAAAAACCCCTTAATGGTTTTCCTTCCCTGAAAAATCCTCCCTTCAGGCATTCTCCTCTAAGTTAATTAAACTTCTTCCCCACCTCTTCTCTGAAGTTTGCTTTTTGTTGGGTCCTTCCACAGTTCAAACAGACCAAGCACATGGCAAACCTGCATGGGGTAGCCACTCCCATTAAAATACTATGCCGTCTGTTTGCAAACACGTTGAGCCTCTGTTTAAGCCACAGAAACACTGAAAAATGTGTCAAACCTGAGAGCGAGGACCACGCTCAAACTTATCTAAGCGGCTATTAAAAAGCTGATTGCTTTGGTGCCGCTATCTTTGTTGGCTCCGCTTTTTGTCGTGCCCAACGTGGAAGCCGAGGCAGAGAAAAGAGGAAGAGGGATTGCGGGAAAAAAGAGAGCAGGAAGGAGAGATGCTAATTTCAAATTCAAGAATTGTCCAAGCACAGCCTTTTTGCCTTTGTGCAGCCCAGAGGTGCGATGATCCATAGGAGAAGTCCCCTCCATTTTATGGCGAGACCGTCCCCCTTCAGCCACCCAACACAGCACCACACACACAGCTCATAGTTCCACGGTAATTGGGTTGCTGCGACATTGGGACAGGCCAAGGAGGTGATTCCT